CATATCATTGTTTTAACTGAATGCAAGTTTTTTTCCATTCGTTTCAAAGCATGTACTTTTGAATGAAATAAGTTTATTATACATAGTTTATTATAGATCTATTATGTAGGAAGCTGTAACCACATTAATGACATTCTTAAACCAATACTTGATCTCATACAGATATGAAAATAGAAAAAATCACACAAGTGATTTTAGTAAATAGTGACCATGCAAGTTTCCCGTTCAATCTGGAAATAATTTTCACAAAGTTAATCATGCTGTGTGTCACTAATTTAATTATTACAATTTAACATATATAATCAAATAATCAATGCCAAAAATCATTATCATTTTTTTGCCAACAGTATACAATAATAAACTTTCAAAGTCTATTTTTTGCCCTCAATTTTCATTACGGTCTAGAAATTTTGTGTTGAAGTTGGTTGTTAGTAGCAGATTAACTTTTCTTTTAGATTTAATAAGGGGCTGACCAAATGTCTATCTGGTCTATAACTAGGAATATTTAGTCGTACATTCTTTAACTTTGGTGTAGAGGTTGGTCTTTCATAATTTGTAGATGAAACATATTGTCTCAGGTCAGCTGGCCTCTTCAGAAGTCAAGGTCACTTAGGTTTCTGCTTCAAAACTTTGTTTGGTTTTATCTTCCATTTATCCGTCATAGTTTATGCTGTGGTTTTCTTTTTATGTCGGGTAATGTTATTCTTACTTGTACGATATTGTTTAACCATATGTCTGCCCTTGCTTGGTTCAGTTTTGATAATCACAGAGTCTTGATATTTCTATTATGAAGTTGTTTGGGCTTGCATTTTAATTAACTAGATAAATTAATTCTCCCTCTCTCTCCCCCCTCTCTCCCTCTCTCTCTGTAATGATTTAACAGGATGCGAAGTTCTGATTTGTGAATTAAATATGAGATTCAATTTACATAACTACCGTATTTGTTTTCATTTATCAAATTTACATATAAGCAAAATAGTCATTGTTGGAATAAAAAATGGGTTAACTTTTTTAACTTTGTTAACTTGAGTTGACTTTAAATGTTGAAAACATTTTTGACCCACCTGAGCAAAGTGCTCAGAGATGACCTTTTGTGATGACAGTTTGTCCGTTATTAGCCATACTTAAAACAATTTCCTAAACCTTTTGATAGTGTTTTTTACCAAACTTTACAAGAATTACCCTAAGGTAGCCCTCGACAATAATTACAATGTACATGTATAAAAGTTAATAAATATAAGAATTTCACAGGAGATCAAATTGAAATCTTTAAAGATCTACTACAAAGAAACTACAATGCCAAGAGCTTAGATATTTGGAATGTAACATCATATTATGGTACACGAGTTACATAAATTATGTCTGTTTGTTGAAAAATAGCCCCCTTGGGGTAGCTTAATTAACCAATGCTTATTTAGGAAAATAATTTTAAGTGTTCTTTTACATAAATCTTGTCTGTTTGGTGATACATAGTCTCACCCTAGGAGTCGCTTAATTAACATACATGCAGGCTTATAGAGGAAAATAAATCTTTTATTAAATTATAACGCCTATAGATATTTGGCATGTATTTTTGCCAAGTGTGCATCTCTTAGAATTATATAATCATACCCAGTGGCTCGAGATTGTACGTACCTGCCCTGGGTGTCACTTAGTTTATATTTTTATAGGAAAATACATTTAAGTATTTTTTGAGCAACTACACTGCCAAGAGCTTAGGTATTTGTCCTTAAGCCCTTTTAGCAGACATCTACAATGTTTTAAAAATTATGCATCTTTGGTAAAAAATGAAAAACCAGATATGATATTATTTCTGACGTTTTCATTGAAAAATAATATATGAGACCTCTTCCAGCAACACACCCCTGGTTAGCGATCAAGGGCCATCTTTGCCCTTTTGTTCTACTTGAAATCCACACTCATAAATAATGTTAAATGGCTTAATAAGAATTAAAAGTGGAGGAGAAAAAAGTGACTTAAATTCACTTGTAATAGTTGGACAACATTTTTGCACATGCATATGCAATTCACAAAAGATGTTGATGACCCTTTCTTATGCGTATATTGTTATGCACCTCGTGCTCCTTCTTCCGTTCTTCCGTCGGTAAGCAATTTCTAGACTGGTCTGTTACTTTTGAACTGATGGAATGAAATTGAATCGACTTGCCAGAAATGTTAACTATAATTTATCAATGTGCAAAGCATAGCTTGTCCTTCCTTCAGGTTGTAGGTCACACTTATGTGTGAGTTTCAAGATTGTGTATCGGTTTGCAACTTTTGAATATATGGAAGGAATTAAAACTATTTGGCAGAAATGTCATGCCCCTAAGTTCAATATTACCTCGTCTGAGGGATCACTGATATAGACTAACATAGTGGAATATGTGTTTGTCATGTAGCATTTCATTGTTGACTTTTACACAATTTATATTTATCATGCCTCTAGTGTCCATATTGAACACACGTCAGGGGTCATTTAGGAATATACATTAAAATCTTTAATTGTATGTCACTAAAAAAGATCTTTGTCATGCAACATTAACAAGTGGACCTCTGCAAAATAACATAAATCATAATTCTGGAGTGAATATTCGCCCCGCCTCTGTGATCAGTATATTTAGACTTCTTTGATAAACATTTTTTTAAATATTTTTTAACACTTAATTAAAAAAAAAACTTGAGCTTACATATTTGTCTCGTAGCATTTTTTGGCAGTCTTCTATAAAAGTTATATTAACCACGTCCCTAGAAGGTAAGAAATGGCCTTTTATAAAAAATATAGTCTTTTTGTGTCACCTCTACAGAGAATGGGCGACATAAGAGATCACTTCTCTGTCGTCCGTCTGACTTAAAAACTACTGGTGCAATTTCAAATTATGGCCATTGAATAATAAAGGAGGTTTTTAGCTCACCTGTCACAAAGTGAAATGGTCAGTTCTTGTGATCGCTTTTCGTCCAGCGTCCGTCGTCTGCCCGTAAACTTACTTTAAACAACATCGCCTTATGAACCGCTAAGTCAATTTCATCCAAACTTCACGGGAATGTTCCTTTGGTGGTCACTTTTAAAACTTGTTCAAACAATTTAATTCCATGCAGAACTCTGGTTGCCATGGCAACTAAAAGTAAACATTTAAAATATATTATTTTCAGAAACGTAAAGAGCTAGAGCTTAGCTATCTGACAAGCAATATCTTCTGATGAATGTCTACCAAGTTTGTACAAATAAAAGTCCTTGTGTCAAAATTGGCCCCACCCGGGGAGCATTGTTTTTTCTTATATGCGTATAGTAAAAACAAAAAAAAATCTTATTTTAACCATGATGGTTCTGGAATCGCTCAGCTTAATATAGAAAAATAGTGCATGTGTAAAAACATTACTGGTGTAATCATATTGCTAAGGGAAAACAACTGTTCCAAAATATGTGTATATATAAGGAAAATCAATGACCCAGCAGGGCGGGGCCAATTAAGACCCAAATCATAAACAAACTTGGTAGATATTCACTAGAAGATGTTTCATGCCAAATATCTAAGCTGTAGCTCTTTGCATTTTTTAAAAGAAGATTTTTTAAGTTTTTTTCTTTCGGCCATGGCAACCAGAGTACTGCATGGAATTAAATTCTTTGAACAATGCTTTAAAGGTGACCACCAAAGAAACATTCACGTGAACTTTGGATGAAATTGACTTAGCGGTTTATGAGGATATGTCGTTTAAAGAAAAAGTTTAAGGACGGACGAACGGACGCTGGGCGAATTGTGATCACAAAATCTCGCCTTGTCACTTTTTGACAGGTGAGCTAAAAAAAACCCCAAAATACAGAATGTAACAAGTTTTCTGACTCAAGTTAGCGATTTAGGGCCATCATGACCCTCTTGTTCTAGTTTTGCCAGCTACACAGAAGCTTGTCCGGACTACTTCTCACAAACTACAGGTGCAATTTCATTAAAATTTTACAGGAATTATAAGTACCAAGTCTAGTTGTGCATATGATCGACTTTTTATGTTCAAATGATTTTTGTCAGGGTACGGCCCTTCAATTATTTGTATTTTTAAAGTTTGTCCGGGCTACTCCTTTTATATCACAAATGCAATTTCAATGACACTTAATAGGATTGACAGGGAAGTCAAGTTCTGGCGCATATTACACGTATTTTTGCTTGAAAATCTTTAGACGAGTTATGACCCTTGAATGAAAATGGTTTCGATAAAGTTTGTCTGGACTACTCTTAAAATACCACTAATGCAATTCAAATTAAACTTTAAGGATTGTTTGGTAAGTGAAGCAATTATGCATAATACACAAGATTTTTGCTTGAATGATTTTTTGCCGAGTTATGGCCCTTGAATAAAAACGATGCCAGCTACACAGAAGCTTGTCTGGACTACTCAGAAACTTCTGGTGTCATTTACTCAAAACTGATAATCAATACCATGTCTTCTTGTGCATCTCATCGACATTTTTCGGTTCATTGATTTTTGTCAGAGTTATGGCCCTTTAATGTTTTTTTTTATTTTTAAAATTCGTCAAGACTACTCCTCTTATATCAATGAAACTTTACAGGATTGATCTCTTGCTCAAGTTCTCGAGCGTATTTGACCTATTTTAGGTTGAATGAATTTTGCCGAGTGATGGCTATCATGAGGCGACACATGTGATCACTGATTGCTCTTGTGGGAGAAAACAATAATGTTGATAACCTAGGGAATATTTTGTATTATAAGAATAATTAAGATTAAACATGTTTTTCTGCCAAATAAACGGGTCAGAATTTTGTTTTTAATTTAAGTGAACAACTTTTCATTCGGGCGTAGAGTGTATTGCTCCGCATTGACGGTGCTGTTATGTAATGCATTTAGACGAGATATCATATTGAAAAATATTGAGATATAAGTCATATTTATCAATTTGAATCTGTTTGAAACTGAGGGAGCTTCACAGTTGTGGTCTCTTTCTACACATTGAATGATGAAACAAACACGAACGCAAGTCGGATTAAAATTTTAATGAGGTCACATACAACGTCATATATATTAGCCGTATCGATTTTTTTCTTAATTGACAAAAAACAACAATAAAAGACTAATCAGTCAACTTTGGTGGACGCATTTACGTTTTTTATACACACGTACGCGCGCACATACACGCACGCACACAAGCACACATGCACGCACCAACTCACGCACACACGCACGCTCGCACGCACACACACACACACACACACGCACACGCACACGCACATGCATTAATACATTGATGTTATTATAAATATTCTTAAAAGACCAACCAGGTCTATGATCGGGAATTAAACAGGACGAACGAACAAGGCCACTTACGATTTTATCGTCAGGGGATATCAACTCGTAGTTAATTTATTCAAGTCCTTTTTAGCTAGACTTTTTTCTGAAAAAAATACGGGTATTGTTACAGTTATGTCGTAGTCGTTGCCGTTGCCGTCCACAAACATTATCTTGATCATAACATTGTAAGTTCTTGGAGTATTGTCTTCATGACCACAACAACCCTTCGGAAAAGATTTTCAAGTAGACCAAACTAAATTTGACCTTCATTAAAAAATAACCTTGACCTTTAAGTTAAGATATCTAAATTTCACTTAATTCTTGCTTTTATTTTGCTATTAGTGCTTATAACTTTGTTTTTTACTTAAATGTCTTCAAACTTGAACATAACAATCTTAAATGATAGACCTTCAAGTAAACCAGACAGACCTTTACCTTCACTTATAGATGACATTGACCTTGAAGGTCAAATTATTGAAATTTTCTTCTGTAACTGGCTATAACTTTGTTATTAATGAATTGATTAACTATATTCTAAGACAAATCATTCTTTAAGATCAGTCCGTCATGTATGTCAAACACAAATTGACCTTGGCTTGTTGATGACCTTGATGGTAAAAATATTGAATTTTTAAAAAAATTTAGTAAAATTGAATTGACTATAACTACTACCTTGGTACTTAAACAATGGATTATCATCATATTTGTTGGTTGTTGTATTAACCTTGACATTGAGTGTTAAATGACATTGACCATCATAGTCAAATTATTGAATTTTGGTTAAATTTTCATAATTTTATTTTTGTACGGATTTGACTTAAACTTGCACAAAACAATACTTGCTATGAAACAGACATATTGGATAATTTAGATGTGACCTTAATCTTAAATTGACCTTAACTGTCAAGGTCAAGTTAATGAAATTATCTTGTTCTTTCTTCTGTAACTGACTTTTTATGAATGCATTTACTTCATATTAACCTTTTCCCTGATATAAGCGTGTTTCGACGGCTTTTCCACCCTTTTGAGGCCTAAAACAGTGAAAAAAGGCCCCAAACACTTTTTTCCGTTTGAGAAATTCTGTTAAAAAAGTGACCACTTTTTCGGCGCGGCCCCCATCAAAATGATACATCAGGGGGTTGCAAGAAGGGGAATGTGCCCCCTTCTGTTTGGGGGTTTGAAGGGGGCGATAGACCCCCTCATCGCCAAGAAAATTTTGGACATGTGACAGGTTAAACATGGCCACAGGTCGGTCTTAAGATGACGTGTAACCAACGCTGAAAAGCTTTTTACTCTATTTCATTGCATTGAGAAGTTGCAGCACTTTGATAGTGATTTTTCGCAATTTTTAGACGTCCAACCGTTGCCATGGTAACAGGAAATTTAAGATTGAGCATGTTGTTACAGAGGTTATGGTTCAGTCAACATATGTGCCAAGTTTCACCAGTATTGAAGCATTTTTCATAGTTTTATAGCAGTTGAAACTTGTAACAGGAGGCTTTTCAATGAAAACGGCCATTTTTCACAATATGCTCATGGGGTAAAAGGTTAAGATAAAACATTCTTGAGGATTTGACCGTCATGCTTTTTAAACTCAAAAAGACATTGCCTCATTAATGACCTTGACCACTGATTTTAGCTTTTATTGATTTAAACTTGGTAATTAATTATTTGATTATCCTCATATTTGGACAAAACATTCATTTGGACAAGATCTTCTTGAAAATTGAACTTTGAACTTGAGCGTTAAATGACACTGACAGCCAATTTCAAAATATTGAATGTTGTTGGTGTAATGACCACATGGATTTTCAGATGTAACACTGAAATTTAATATTATCTGACTTAGATTTTGACCTGTTGACCTACTTTCTTTTTTATGTACAGTTATGAAAATTGGACCATGTGCACAGTTTTATTGATATCACCTGACCCAGATTTTGACCTAGTGGCCTCCTTTCTTGTTTTTGATATAAAGCTATCAAATTTGGACCATATGCCCAGTTTTAGATGTAAAATTTAACTTTGATATTACTTGACCTAGATTTTGACCTAGTGACCTACCTTCTTGTTCTTTGATGTACAGCTATGAAATTTGGACCTTATGCACAGTTTCAAATTTAACATTGAACTCTGTTTTCAGCTGATCTAGATTTTGACCGCGTGAACTACTTTATTTTTTTCCCTAAAATAATATTTAACAGATTTATTTAAATGTTTTATTTGTTTGCTTTTAGAGAAAAAAAAAACAACAACAAAAGCATGACATTCATTTGGCATTGACACCATAGATAAAATTACTTAATTTCCCTACAACTGGCCAAAGCTTTGTTATATAATTATGGATTCTATTGAAACTTTGATAAAAGTACACATATTTGTTTTAAGACTAAATCAACATGATTAAATATTCAAACTTGATCTTGACCTTTATTTACATTGACGATAAAGGTCAGACTATTGAAATTTTCTTCAATTGTCATAACTTTGTTATTTATTTATGGATTGTATTTGATCAAGTTATCAGGTAACGATTTACCGTCATGAAAATTTAGATATCATTTTTTGTCCAATTTATGTTATATACTTCTATATAATCCCGTGATCGTCGTCCTACTATCAGCCTCGTGTGATTGCGATCATAGCAAACAGCCCAACAACTTCCTTCTTGACCATCTGATGTAAGTATTTCTCCTACTACCTCACCATTAGGAGAAAATTGTACAATATTGTTAGATGGTTCACCGCAAACAAGTATATCTCCACTGTCTGTTTCACAAATCTCCCTCACGTATCTGAGATTGGTGGGATTATATTTTCCATGTAATTTACCTTCCTTACTAAGAACTACTAGACCATTTCTCGAGTCAGCAATATAAACCCTCTGACCATCTTGACTAACTGTAAGACTGAAGATACTGGCAAACAAGTTATCACCTGACCGATCTTTGGAAAATAGTATCAGCATTGTCCAAGTCTTGCTGTAGACAAAAATAGTCCTGTTTGAATCAGTTACATACATTTTCCCATTCTTGTACCCTAAGCCATAACATTTATGATCGGTTTTTATTTGCCGTGTTACTTTAAGGGAACCTTCTGTGGTAACAATGTCAATATTCATCCCACCAGAGGATACAGCTACCTCATTGTCAACTTCACAAATTTGCCACGGGTATCTCGGGAGTTGACATACATCTATTATTTTGGAAGAGGCCACGTCAAGACGTTTTAAGCTTTTATTATTGTAATCAGCGATAATCATACAGCCATCCTTAAGCTTACATATACTGCGTATATCATAACAGGAGTTCGAGTCTGAATCATGTTTGATACTAATCTCCCTCTTTTCCCCTAGCCTATATATAGCAGGTTTTTCCACAATTTCTCCCAATATGTCCATTTGGTCTATCATTGACATCAACTTCGGTTGTTGTTCAAAGACAACATCAAATCTTTTGAATTCCACTGCTTTCTCTCTTAAACCATTATCTGCTCTTTGTGTAACAGAGTAAGCTACTTTCATCCCCACAAATTTTTGCGACACATTTGATGAGGCGGATATAATATCTGCTGCTGAAGTCTGAACATCGTTCTGGAAAGTTGTCAGTATGGCCATTTGCTCTTCAAACTTCTTGATTAATGCTTTGTATTTATCTTCTATGTTATCAATGCTTTTCTTTTCAAGATTGTCAAGTTTCTGGTTGATATTAATCCGGAACTGTTTTATGTTTTCAACTTCTTCTTCTTTCCGTTTGAACAATCGTTTTATTTCCCGTTGTCGAATTTTCAGCTGGAATTCAATGTCACCGGTAACAGCTAGCCTTTTCTGTTGAACGTCTTCACATTGAATTGTAGGGTCATGATCTAAGACGTACTCAGGCACGTAGAAAACATCGTTACAAGACCTGAAATTGAATGATTTAAACTGTATATAATGCATAGGCAATGTATTTATTTTACATTAGACATTGGCATTCCATTCAATCTTGATAGGAATAATGAAACTTGTTGAATAATATATGTATGTTAAATGTGATTTTAAGGCACACTTTTATGAGCTATTCGACAAAGAATCGTGTTTGTACATCAAGCATTTTGTTTCTTTCCGAATATGATACGAGAATTATCATTTTCCCATGTTAATTACCATATATGTCTTTATTTGTAATTAATTGTAAGTCCGAAAAGTGTTATTTTTATATTCGAGTTTAGAACATTATAAATATTGAGGAAAGAAAAAAATAAATTAATGTACTTATTTAGTGCATTTTGTAAAAATGTATAAGTTGATAACTGTTAACATGTTACATGACTGACGTAAACAATCAATTAACTCAGAAATGCCTTTCTTCGTTTACATTTGATATAGCTAGCTATCTCATTGTGTAAATTATACATGTCTTCTTTAAGCTTTCAATAGATATGTATTTTATGTCTCTTATGTTTATCATACAATTTAATTATTTGAGCTTGAATCCGTATATCGCCGAGCCATTTTAAATATTAAAGAACTTATTCAAATCTTGGAAAAATTGTACTACAATTTGCATGTATTTACACGTAAAACTTGTCTAGCTTTTATTTCAATAAACATTTTCAAGTCAATTATAATTTTAAATGTGTTTATTGTGAAAATAGAAACGAATCCAAAGTACAGATTGAAGGTGTTAACAGTTTTGTTATAGGCGTATTTTATATTAAGTCATGAAAACTATACCATTCATAACCATTTTATAAAATGAAAATAAAATCTCGTTTAGAGCAAAACCTCATTATTCTTTTCCATTTCTTACATGGCAAACACACATTTTTTTTCAAAACTAAATTGGAAAGATGTATTGATATTCATTGCGCGTGCACCAAAACAGGTTCTTTTAAAAAGAGAGTTGAAATACAGAGTATCACAAACTTATTGATATACGCACATCATGACATATGAAGGAAAATGAATACATTGTTTCATTAAACTTGTATCTTATAGGTTTTTAAAGTATTATTAAATAATCTTTCAAAATCATGATCAGACAAAAGGATATTTTTATGTCAAGCTGCGTAAAATTTCTTATCAGAGGACTCAATTTAAACAAGGTTTATTTTTAGGTTTTGGAAAACAATGTTAACACATATTTAATCATATATCTCGGGTGTATCTCACCAGAAATGCAACTATTTGTAGGTACAATAAAGTGGAAATTCATAAGAGGCAAAATAAGTAATTAAACAAATATCACTATAATAAGTTTAAGTTACATTTACCTCATTATATTAATCTTTAAATTTTGGCTAAGGCTTTTCATGACATAGATTAGATTATATCTTACCTGTGATCTACTGCCATACACGTAGAACACCCAACGTTATCGTGACTTTGACAATACATGTCAACAAGTTTAAACCCGTGTCTCTCGCATCTTTGTGTTGGTGTTACAGGCAATGTCCAGCTTGTTCCATCTTTGACTTGACCTTTATCTAGAATCTTATGTCCAGACATAGCAGGAATATCGTCGTGACATTTCACACAATCCGAGCAGTAATAATCATGGCAGTCAGCGCAATATTTGTCCGCTTCTTTATTCCTTTCCTTACGTTTACAAGGTGAACATAACAGACGAAGTGGTTCATCTGACTGTCTTTCAATCTCACTCCCCGAAATGGCGGCCATTTTGCTTGACACAAATTTACGTTTTATAAAGTTTCGGTAACAGGAAAAATATTCGATCGATACTGCGCTAAAAATAAACCATATCAGAAGTAGAATGTAAATGTACGCAAGTAAGTGTTATCAGGTACTTTATGGTCATTATTTTGTTAATACATTCTCAACCTATTTGAAGTAGAAATGCATATTTAAATGTGCATTTTTTTTCTTTAAACCTTTATTTAAATATTACAATCTTTGATTTATGCCGATTTTGAATCCGCGCTTTTTCTGCAAAAAAAACTTGTGTGTAATGAGGCTTCTTTTGAGTGAAACACAGGTTAATGGAACTGATCATCGGGTTTAACAAAGCTTATCTCTAATCGACTACTGATTCTACCTATGCGACCAGTGCAGACAATGATCACAAAGACAAAGCTGCATCTCCGTGATCATGGTCTGCAATGTTCCGTTTGCCAATCGGTCAATGCTTATATGTAATGTCCTAGCTTTAATATCATGAACGTCTTGATCGAAAAAGGACAAGCCTGTCATAAATTTCTAGAGTGGATAAGCTGATGTCATCGTGACATATTATTTGCATGAATTATTTGATGGAGTAGGGCTACAGCATAAGCAAATATTGGCTTAAAGGCCACGTGTTTAAAAAATAAACATATTATCATAAATGCATTGGCAAAAATGTTAGTACTTATACTTTATCATGAATTAGATTAATGAATTCTGCGTTCTCATCATATGCACGTTTATATAATGGTTCAAGATTGTACGAGAGAGATCTTGACCTTCATTCATAAATGACCTTGACTTCGAAGTTCAATTTATTGAAATTTTCATTTTTTTTGGCTGTAACTGGCTGTAACTTTGTTATTATGATAAATAAATTCTCAACACATGTTGAGAATTTGTTTGCATTTCTTAAATGAAACAAAGTTTTACTTGCTTAAAATGGGATACTGTATAAAATAAGTTGTTGAATTCTCAAATTAAAATGTCGAGTTCAAGCAGATGTTTGCCTAAATGTATCGTTTTCAGTCATTCTGCGAGTTAATATAGGGTTAACGCAATTTTTTTTGTGTTATAACGTCCGCAGAGTCCCGAGGAACAATTGGTGCCCGGGCCCGGTAGGGCGAGGTCTCCAACAGTTCCGAGGGACTTTATAACACGGAATAAACATGCGTTGACGCTAAATTATATCATAATTAAAAAAAAAAATCATGATGTATATTTAATACAAAACACATACATTAAATCCTTGTGCTTTGACGGTATTTATCCAATTCTACATGTTTTATGTATGTGTTTTATTTTTCCGGGGCCAACTACTTGGGAAATTTAAGTGCTCAGAACCGTTCGAAAATTCGAATTTTAATTGATTTAACAAAGCTTAACATTAGAGATTTATTAAATCAATAAAAAAAAATAAATTACTCTGCCCAAAAAAAAACATGACCCTCAGAAATTCCTTGAATGATTTCAGATTGACGGTAGAAAAAAGATCAGTGACATCAGAATCGTTTTTTTTTTCAAGCTCACAAGTTTATCAAAGAATATCAGGCACTAAACATTATTCTCTCAAGGAAATATGAAGAGCATTTATCAATATAAACATCAATAAAACAACATTTCTCATACATGTACAGTATTCATTTTGTGTTATCTTGTTTTGTAATTTAATTTGAGGGTTAAACTGAATGTCATTTATTTGTTTACATTGACAACTGTCCGTTTCTTAGAAAGGGCGACAACCAAGATTTGCGGCGATGTCTATACGCCGAATTTTCGGGCATGGTTACTTGAATGCTGCTCAATGCGATTGAGGCACTCGAATCAATAATTTTAATATAACACTTTGGCAAACAGGCCAAATCGTCATTTTTGTTTGTTTGTTTTCTTGGCCCTGTATGTATTGCGCATAGGTTGAACCGGGCTATAACAAGAGCGCGTGACTATGTTAACACATGGTTTTGGTCCCGTGATAACATGGGCAAAAGATGTAAAAATAGCCGATTTTATGATATACTTTTCTTTGTAACACTTACTCTAGAAGAACTTTATGTATATTTCCCTTTTAATAATTAAAATATTTCAATTTTCAGAATACAGTCCTGCCAGTTGATCATAAGACTAAACATAAACCAGTCTAGTTAATTTACGTCCAACAATAATATCAAATAAAACATATGCTCAATGGTTAGATATTAAGCTTGTATAATTGTAAATGGACATCTATAAGAGTTATAAAATATGCTCATTTTGTAAAAATTGGACCCGCCTAGGGGGTCACTTAGACTATATCAATCTGTAAGAAGAATAAATTTAAGTATCTTTTCTGAAACTACATCGCCAAGAGCTTAGATATTGATCATTTCGTAGTAGACATCTATTATAATATTTTTTAAATGTAAGCAGTTATAGGTAAAAAATGACAAACCAAGTGTTATCTCATCGCTAACTTTTACATTGAAAAATTACAATTGAGACCTTTTCTTGCAATGTATCCCAGCTGACCGATTCAGGGCTATTATGGCCCTCATGTTCTACTTATATTGTTTTTAAATCTAAACAAGGCTCATGTTACTTAATAATGGTCCGTGACTGTTTAAATAAGGGCTACATGTGGAAAATGAAAACCTTTTAAGGTCTTTCCCTGCTTAACTGCTTATATATCAATGAAATATATTATCCACCTGCAAAAGTGACGTGGTTTCATATGATATATATTGACAGCAGGTTTGCGCATTTACATGCTATTCACAAGAGGTGTATATGGCCTCTTTATACGATCGAAACAAAATGGGCCTCTTAATTTTAGGGTCAATATATTGGGAAGGACATAAAAACTATTTGGCGCTATGTTCAATATTGGCCACGTCGCAGGTGTCACTTGACTTACAAAGACTTATATAGTGAAATACCTTGTTGCGTACCGCTGTCTCTTGTATATATCTTTTATTCTACTAGCATGTATTCGCCAACTCCGAAGAATAGTTCTTCATGGTATAGAGCTTCTGTATTATATATAGGACGGACTCTGACGGACACCAAGCAATCACAAAAATTCATAAGTCGGGCTATCAGAGGATGACTCCGCATCAGTTTATTGTAATTTATTTTTGGATGATATATAAGGGTCTTTAATATAAAACTTTTCAAGTAACAACCAAGACAAATTCAAGTTAACGATGTTTATTTACGGACTCAACGTAGTGAACTATATATTATTTAATCTTGAACAAATGTTGTATAATTATATTAAACAAAGTCTGTTACTTGTATAGTATTAAAAACAATCTATATAATTTAGATAATGCAAATAATCCGACACATTTTCATGGCTTATTTGCACAGAAAAGATAAGATATAAAAAATAATATGAATAAAAATGGTGATTTTTTAAAACACATTAGTAGCCTTTGGGAATGTAGGAATTATGGTCATTGTTGAACCGCAATATTCATACCTGTAAATGTGTTCGTCACAAGTGTCATTAATACGTATTATCCATAAAGGTAATGTGATACGTTTATGGGTAGATAAATACGACCAAAATTCAAATGTCTTAGGTGAATCACAGAAAAATATGTAAAATCATTTTGATATTTTGTCTGACGATTATCTAATTTAAAAGTGAATATCTATAGAGATGTCTTGGAATTTCATCAATTAGGTATTGATTAGCAGCCAAGAACATTTAGATGCTATTTTTTTTGTTGTTCAATTTATATTGTAAACTTCTATGTAATCCCGTTCTGCTCGTCCAATTAACAGTCTCATGTGATTGCGATCATAGCAAACCGCACGACAACTTCCATCTTGACCATCTGATGTAAGTATTTCTCCTATCACCTCACCCTTTGGAGATAATTGTACAATATTGTTAGATGCACAAACAAGTATATCTCCACTGTCTGTTTCACAAATCTCCCTCGCGCTCTTGATGTTGGAAGGATTATATTTTCCATGTACTTTGCCTTCCTTACCAAGTACTACAAGACTATATCTTCGACCAGCAACATAAATCTTCTCACCATCTAGACTGACTGTAAGACTGTAGATTCTTGCAAACAAGTTATCACCAGACTGATCTTTTGAAAATTGTGTCAGCATTGTCCCTGTCTTGTTGTAGACAAAAATAGTCCTATTATCATCAGTTACATAAATTTTCCCGTTACTGTACCCTAAACCATAACATTTATGATCGGTTTTTATTTCCCGTGTCACTTTACCTTCTGTAGTTACAATGCCAATGTTCGTCTCACCAGAGGATACAGCTATCTCATTGTCAACTTCACAAATTTTCCAAGGCATCATCGCTAGTTTACAAGTATATACTATTTGAAATGAGGTTATTTCAAGACGTTTCAAACTTTGATTGTATCTGTCCGCGATTATAACAGACCCATCCTTTAGTATACATATACTGAATATATCATTACGGGTGACAGTGTCTGAATCATGTCTTATACTAATCTCCCTCTTTTCCCCTAGCCTATATAAAGCAGGCTTTTCAACAATTTCTCCCAACATGTCCATTTGGTCTATCATTGACTTCAGCTTTGGTTGTTCTTCAAAGTGAACATCAAATCTTTTGAATTCCATTGTCTTCTCTTTCAAACCATTGCCTGCTCTTTTTGTAAATGAGTTAGCTACTTTCATCCCCACAAAGTTTTGCGACACGTTTGATGAGGCGGATTTTATTTCTTCTGCTGAAGACTTAACATCTGTCTGGAAAGTTGTGAGTATGGTACATTGCTCTTCAAATATTTTGATAATTGCTTTGTATTTACGTTCTATATTATCAATGCTCTTCTTTTCAAGATTGTCAAGTTTCTGGTTGACGTCAATTCGGAACTGTTTTATTTTTTCAACTTCTTCTTCTTTCTGTTTGAACAGACGTTTTATTTGCCGTTGTCGTATTTTCAGCTGAAATTCAATGTCACCGGTAACAGCTAGTATTTTCCGTTGAACGTCTTCACATTGAGTTGTAGGGTCATGATCTAAGACGAACTCAGGCACGTAGAAAACATTACAAAACCTGAAAATTGAATAATTTTAACTGTATATAATGCGAGGGCAATGGATTTATTTTACATTAGACATTGGCAGATATGAATGATGAAACTTCTTGAAATTATATGTGTACGTAAAATGTGATTTTAAGGCACACTTTTATAAGCTATTCGACTAGGAATCGTGTCTGTACATCAATAATTTGTTTCCTTCCAAATATGATACGAGAATAATCATTTTACATGTTAATAACTCATATGACCATCTTTATTTGTAATTAATTGTAAGTCCAAAAAGAATTCTTTTTATATGCGAGTTTAGAACATTATAAATATTGAGGAAAGAAAAAAATAATGTATGTGCATTTTGTAAAATGGTATAAATTAATAAATGTTCAAATGTTACATATCTGACGTAAACAATCCATTAACTCAGAAATGCCTGTCTTCATTTACATTTCATACATCTAGCTATCTTATTGTATATATTATACATGTCTTCTTTAAGCTTTCAACAGATATGTATTTTATGTCTCTTATGTTTATCATAATATAGAATTATTTAGTATATCGCCGAACCATTTGAAGTATTAAAGTACTAATTCAAATCTTGGAAAAATTGTACTTGTAAAAATTGTCTGGCTTTTATTTCAATAAACATTTTCAAGTCAATTATAATTTTAAATGAGTTTATTGTGAAAATCAAAACGAATCCAAAGTACAGATTGAAGGTGTTAACAGTTTTGTCATAGGCGTATTTTATATTAAGTCATGAAAAATATGCCATTCATAACCATTTTATAAAATGAAAATAAAATCTCGTTTAGAGCAAAACCTCATTATTATATTCAATTTCTTGCATGACAAACACACATTTTTTTTCAAAACTAAATTGGAAAGATGTATTGATATTCATTGCGCGTGTCCCAAAACAGGTTCTTTTCAAAAGACAGTTGAAATTTAAACCGTGCGTTTGATACATATCACAAATGATGTTTGTTAAATTGATAAACGCACATACGACACATGAAGCAAAATGAATACATTATTTAATAATTAATTGTGTGTTATAAAGTTTTTAAAGAATAATGAAATATCATGTTCAGACAAAATGATAATTTGTATGTCAGGCTGCGCAAAATTTCTTATTTGAGGGACTCCATGTAATCCAGGTTTATTTTTAGGTTTCGGAAAACATAATTAACACATATTTAATCATATATCTCGGGGGTATCTCACCAGAAATGCAACTTTTTGTAGGTTCACTAAATTGGACATTGATAAGAGGTAAATATAGTAAACTAAACAAATATCACATAATAAGTTTAAGTTATATTACCTCATTATATTTATCATTTAATTTCGGCTAACGCACGGCATGATATAGATTAGAATGTGTCTTACTTGTGATCTACTGCCATACATGTAGAACAACCAACGTTATCGTGACCTTGACAATACATGTCATCAAGTTTAAACCCGTGTCTCTCGCATCTTTGTGTTGGTGTTACAGGCAATGTTCCGCTCTTTCCATCTTTGACTTGATCTTTATCTAGAATCGTATGTCCAGACAAAGGCTGGAAATTCATCGTGAACGTTTAGACAATCCGAACAATAATAATCATGGCAGTCAGCACAATATTTGTCCGCTTCTTTATTTATTTCCTTACGTTTACAGGGAGAACATAACAGATGAAGTGTTTCATCTGACTGTTTCTCCATCTCACTCCCCGAAATGGCAGCCATTTTCCTTTACACAGATTAACTTATTTAAAATATGTCCATTTTCGAATTCGTTATCTATAACAGGTAATGTCATGACCACGATCGATACCGCGCGTAAAATTAAACCACTTCAGGTACGGAGAATGTAAATGTATGCATCAACTAGTTAGCAATTAGTTTTATTGTATACTAAATGGTTATTATTGTATTTACAAATCCGACCGGTATGAAGTAAAAATGCATGTTTAAATGTGTAAATATTTTTCTTTTAACCTTTTTTTTTTTAAAAAATCTAACGACATTGGATTCATGTCGATTTTGTTGAAAAGAATTGTTATCCGACCTCTTCCTTCAAAATAAAAAAGTGTGTGTAATGAATCTTCTTGTGGATGAAAAAACATATAACAGAGCTTAACAAAGCTTATCCCTAGCCCAGCAAACACCCGACGTTGACCCAACGTTGGATCAACGTTGAATTTTGGTCGCGACGTCGGTGACCTTCATAGAACGTCAAATCGACGTTGAATCCCCGACGTCTAACAGACGTTTCATTTTGACGTCGGCTCGACGTCGGGTTTTGGTCGGTAATCTGACAATAGGTGATTTAATTTATGAAACCAATATATATATATATATATATATATATATATATATATATATATATATATATATATATATATATATATATTATATATATATATATATATATATATATACTATATATATATATTTGAAAGCATAAACAGCGAGAATTTTAAGTTTAAGTTTAGAAAGGGAACATTATATATTTATTTTCTCCATCAAAACAACAGTATCACGTGGGTGGCTTACGTACGATATTCGATAGGTGGCGCTCTGTAAACGGATAGTCGCAGATCAGTATGAAATATATTTGCTCTATTTTCGTTTAAATAATATCTTATCTCCTCGAATTAGTCTAAGAAGTGTTTATATAATTTACAATGTAGCTGTTATCATTTTTGAGAGCTTAATTTTATAGTGGTAAATAATTTAGTAAATTCGAATTTGCGACTTATCGGATTTGAAATTCAATTGTATTGGCGGACAAAAAAACGACGGGTTGACAGACAAAGTTGTATATTCCAAACAAAAGAAAAAGGTAGGCAAACATTATATATTGTTTTTCAATGCTTATTTACCGCATGTTTGATTGGATTCGATGGTTATTTGATCATTGAAATGTTTGACTGGTAAAACTTAATGTAACGTGATTTCGCGCGATAAATATTTTTCTTTCCACGTAAGAACACTTTATCATTTGCTATAGAACAGTCTGTATAATCGGATCATTTTCCCCACACTATATCGCCATGCCAAATAAATGCACAATCAATGGTAGGAAATATCTTAGCAATTGAAATCAATAAAAAGTTAAATGCAGTACGTAATACTCTTATTATTTAAATGCTGGTAAATAAAATTTCCTCTTATTTCTTATCAACATGAATTTCTCTTATATGCGGGGCCAGTCATTTACACATGTATCAGATGCAGTTTGATTTGATATCTGTGTAGTTGTTAAACTTCTCGTTGTTAATTGAAGTACTTTACCCATACTGTTAGCATACCATGTGTTTCTTATATTATGAAAATGATTCATGGCATTTGATACATGTAAATAATACGACTTTGGTTAAGATACATGTATATGAAAGCACATTGTATTTGACTAGCTAT